TGCATACCCTTGATGGCCTGGGCAGTTTCACGTGTGTTCTTAAAGTGAACACGAAGATTTGAACCTCTTGATTTATATGGTTTCGTAGGGTTTTCTGGGTCAAGCGAATAGCGAACCATTTTCAGAGGTCACCTCAGGCCGCTTAGGGGGAAAGAGGAAGAGCCTACAGCATCCGTTCTTGATAAAAACCCTCAACAACTCAACAAAGTAGGCATAGATGGAACATACCTCAACACCATAAAGGCCATATATGAAAGACCCACAGTTAATATTCTCAATGGGGAAAAACTGAGAGCCTTTCCCGTATAGTCAGGAACAAGGCAGGATATCCATTCTCACCATTACTATTTAACATAGTACTGGAAGTCTTAGCTTCAGCAATCAGACAACAAAAAGAAATAGAGGACATCCGAATCGGCAAGGAAGAAGTCAAACTTTCACTATTTGCAGACAACACGATACTCTATGTAGAAAACCCAAAGGACTCCACCGAAAAATTGCTAGAACTAATACATGAATTCAGCAAAGTCATAGCATATAAAATCAATGCGCAGAAATCTGTTGCATTTCTATATATCAATAATGAAGCAGCAGAAAAAGAAATCAAGGAATTGATCCTATTTGCCATCGCACCAAAAACAATAAGATACCTAAGAATCAACCTAACTAAAGAGGTAAAAGATCTGTACTCGGAAAACTATACAACAGTTATGAAAGAAACTGAAGAGGACACAAAGAAATGGAAAAGCATCCCATGCTCATGGATTGGAAGAACATTGTTGAAATGTCTACACTACCCAAAGCAATCTACACATTTAATGAAATCCCTATCAAAATACCACCGGCATTTTTCACAGAGCTAGACCAAACAATCCTAAAATTTGTATGGAACCACAAAAGACACAAAGTAGCCAAAACAATTCTGAAAAAGAAAAATAAAACTGGAGGTATCAAGATCCTGGATTTCAACCACTATTACAAAGCTGTAGTCATCAAGATAGTATAGCACCGGCACAAAAACAGCTACATAGACCAATGGAACAGAATAGAGAACCCAGAAATGGTCCTAAAACTATATGGTCAACTAATCTTCAACAAAGCAGGAAAGAACATCCAATGGAAAAAAAGACAGTCTCTTCAACAAATGGGGTTGGGAAAACTGGACAGCAACACACAGAAGAATGAAACCAGACCACTTACACTATACACAAAAGTAAATTCAAAGTGGATGAAAGACCTAAATGTGAGACTGGAAACCATCAAAATCCTAGAGGAAAATTCAGGCAACAACCTCTTTGACCTTGGCTGTAGCAACCTCTTACTAGACATCACTGGAGGCAATGGAAACAAAAGCAAAAATGAACTATTGGGACTTCCATCAAGATAAAAACTTTTGCACAGTGATGGAAATAGTCAACAAGACTAAAAGGTAGTCTACGGATTGGGAGAAAATACTTGCAAACAACATGTCTGATAAAGGGTTAGTATCCAAAATCCATCAAGAACTTATTAAACTCAACACCCCAAAACCAAATAACCCAGTTAAGAAATGGGTAGAAGGCATGAATAGACACTTTTCTAAGGAAGACATCAGGTGGCTAATACACACATGAAGAAATACAAATCAAAACCACGATGGGATATCACAAGAAGCGACAGGTGTTGGCAAGGATGCAGAGAAAGGGGAACCCCCCTATACTGTTGGTGGGAATGCAAACTGGTGCATTCTGGAGAACAGTATGGAGGTTCCTCAGAAAACTAATAATAGAATTACCCTACAACCTAACAACTGCACTACTAGGTATTTACCCAAAGGATACAAAAATACAGATTTGAAGGGGTACATGCACCCTGATGTTTATAGCAGCATTATCAACAATAGCCAAATTATGGGGGGATCCCAAATGTCCATTGACTGATGAATGGGTAAAGGAGATGTGGTGTATATATTTAATGAAATATTACTCAGCCATCAAAAAGAATGAAATCCTGCCATTTGCAATGATTTGGATGGAGCTAGAGTGTGTTACGCTAAGCAAAATAAGTCAGTCAGAGAAAGACAAATACCACATTCGCTCATGTGTGGAATTTAAGAAACAAAACAGATGAACATATGGAAAGAGGGGGAAAAAAGGAGAGGGGGGAAAGAGACTCTTAATGATTGAGAACAGACTGAGGAATGATGGAGGGAGGAGAGTGGGGGATGGATCAGATGGGTGATGGGTATTAAAGAGGACACTTGTTGTGATGAGCACTAGGTGTTGTATGTAAATGATGATTCACTGAATTCTACTCCTGAAACCGATATTGCATTATATGTTTACTAAAATTTAAATAAAAATTAAAAAAAAGAAACCTAAGAAAACTGCATAGTCCTTATAGAAAAAAAATTATAAAATGTAATTTACAGATACGGAAAGAAGACTTAAATTAATGGACCTGCCTAGCATATTCATGGATTGGAAAATTCCTTATCATAATAAGGCTGACCATTGCCCCTAATTTGAGCTCTAGATTCAACATACTTCCAATTAAAATCTCAACAGGGTTTTTGTTTTGTTTGGTTGTAGAAATTGACAAGGTGGGTCTAAAATCTCTATGGGAGAGTCAGGGACCTCAAATAGCCAAACCTTAGCTGGTGGTGGTTGTGGAGAAGCAGGCTGATATCTGCCCAACCAGATACCAGACTACCTCTCATACTTGGTCATTAAAAACATAATAGTCAACCAATGGGCAGAATGGAGAGCCTGGAAACTGACCCCTGCGCACGTGGAAGCTTGGTGGACACCAGTGGTACCACTGCGGGTCCCTGGGGGCAGGGGTGAAACTACCCAGTAAAGGGTTCTGAGACAATTGGTAATCCACATAAAGGAGGAATTAAACAGGAATCCCTGCTTCTCACTGACAACAGAAATCAACTCCGGGTGGATTAAAGGCTTAAATGTGAAAAGCAAAACTAAACATTTTGAAAGACCATATAAAAGATTTTCTTTATGACTCAGCATGGGATAGGATTTCTTCAACCCACTCTTCCTAGAACCTTCTCTCTGAGGAAATAGCAATCCTCTCCTCCCAGGCTTTCAGGTCAGAAGCCTTGAATTCAACCTTAATTCCTCTCTCATACACCCCAGATCCATTTATTAGCATATTCTGTGTGCTCCAGCTTACACAAATACCCAGAATCCTACCATATTGTACAATGGTACCTCCAGAGTTGTGCAGGGCCCCAGCCCTGCTCCCTAGACAAGCCATCATCATCTCTCCTACCTGGGTTTTTGCAGTCGACTCCTCACTGGTCTCCCCGTTTCCGCCCCAGCTCCCCTGCAACTATTCTCAACGACAACGAGAATGGTCTTTTAACCAACAATGCCATTCTCCTGCTTGAGACGCTCCCCTGGCTTCCCCACCCCGCCAAGGGAAAAGATTTTCTGGCGGCCTTCCCCACCGAGCCCATCTCCTGTCTGAGTTCCTCTCCCTTGCCCTGGTTCAGCCACAACCCGGATCAGCAAGGGCAAGGCTGACGGGGTGGGTAGAAACAAGAGGGATGCCTGGGTGAAGGCCACTGGTGCCAAGGCTGAATGAAGCCCGAATTTATGGCTCACCGTAAGATAGCAATGCGAGCCAATCCGTTAGGGAAAATATAACAATTGACTCTTGTTGAGCGGGTGGGTACAAGCTGGTTTGCGCTGGTTCCAGCACCACCCCTCGCACGGCTGCCAAGGTTGTGTTTCTCAGGCTGGCGAAACATGCACAGATGTCTCTTAGACAATTGTTTTATGTCTGGGTAGATGTTACCATATAAGGTTGTGCGCACCCTCGGGTGATAATTATTACAGAGACAAATGGAAGGCAGGAACTCTGAGGCCCAGAACAGAAGACAATCTGAGCTGTCTTCTCTCTCCCTCCTCCAGCACCACCCCTTCTCCAGGCTCAAAGAAAGAGCCAGAAAGGCTTCCCGTGGCTGTCTGGTTCCTTGGGTGACGGGGATCTGAGCCCAGTGAGGAGGTCTGCCAGGCCCTGGGGGCACGGGAGAGGGCCTGGCAGGACAGAGGGAAGAAAGAAGAGTACCAGAAGGATGTCATGTTTGGCAATGAGGCAAAACTCGAACGTTGGGGGCCGAGAGAGTCCCCTGCGGGCAGGCTGTGGACCCCCAGCTGAGCAGGCCATTAAACCACTTTGGGAACAGGGTCATAGCTAGGGAAGTGACCCAAAGCCAAGGAAAGACTCTGGGGCTTTGGAGGCAGCAGAAAAACGTGGATTTGAGCTCTGATCCACCTCCTGTTATTGAGAGATCTTGGGCAAACTGTTTCCGATGAGTCCCTGAAATGGAGCTAATAGCTCTCACCCCAAACAAACAGGGCTACGGTTGGCCCTCAGGAAACACTGCACATTGCTGTCCGAATCTCCAACCCACCCTTCTCCCCAGGCGGTGCCACCCCACAGCTCCGGGAAGGAAAAACAATGGCCTGCCAGCTACTCGTTTCGAGCCCCAGGCCAAGCACCTTCAAGTGGCATTTCAGAGCCCTGTCAATGACCCAATGAGGGCCACGTCATCATTATTATCCCCATGGTGCCAAGAAGGTGACCGAGGCCCAGAGAGGTGAAGGATCCCGCCCGAGGCCACACCCAGGAAGTGGCAGAGCTGAGCTTTGAACCTAGGAAGCCTGACATTGTCACTGTGACCAGAGGTGCCCAGGCCAGCCAGGGGTGCCCGGGCCTCCCTCTGGCAGACTAGGACACCAGAGGTCCCCGAGGGAGTGAGGAGCTATTTGCCAACTAGGATGGATCATCTGCATGGTGAGAATACATTTGCCCGGGGCCTGGATATTCCCAGCACAAGGCACAGGGCCTGGCCCAGAGAGGGCGCTTGGTGGCCACGCAATGAGTGTCCCGTGTCCCCAGGAATGTGTCCTGGGTCTCAGACCCCCTAGGGGTACAGGAAGGGGTGGCTTGGGACCCACAGGTGTTGACAGCCCCTCACCCTTGCCCCTTGGCCTGACCTTGAGACAAGTTTGATCGCATGTTGTAGCCCAAATCATAGTAGTCTGAGAAGATGGAGGTGATTTCCACGGGACTCTGGGTCCTGCTGGGCCATGAGTTTGCCCTCCTCTGGCCCTCAAAGACCTCGCCGATGGCCCTTCGAGCCTGCGCAGCGAGCAAGGGAGAAGAGACAAGGGATAGAGAAGCAGGGTCAGCCCTCTATCTCCCCCCAACCCCTCCTCCCTCGCACCTGCCCCACTGCTATACTGCAGCCTTCAACCAGGCCCAGGGCTGGGAGCTGGGAGAGCGGAAGGCCCTCCATTCCTCACACCACCCCAGCTCCCACACGGGCACAAGTGATGGTAGTGATCATAGAACCTCCTCCCTGCTTTGAGCACCTACTGTATGTCATCAGAAGAGGTCTTCATAAGCTCATATTACTCCTGCCATTTTATAAATGAGGAAGCTGGGCCTCAGGGCAGGACTCACCCGGTCGCCACAGCTGATAAACCGCAGAGCCCCGCTTGCCTCTAGAACAGAGGCATCCCCCACGTCAACTCGGGGTGGCTCCTTAGATTTCACTGGGGCCAACTCCTTCCTGTACCAGCGAGGGACCTGGAAGGCTCAGAGTGGCTGAGCCCAGGCCTAGGAGCCAGGAAACTGGGGTTTGAGTCCCAGTTCTGCCATAAACCAGCTGCTGACATTGGGCAAGTCTCTGGTCTTCTCTGGGCCTCAGTTTCCCTACTTGTAAAATGGGGGTGGGGGCAGAACTGGATGGTCTTTGAAGTAGCTTCCAGCTCTGATAATCACTAGCTCAGTGACACCCACAATGTGTCAAAGATAGATAGAAAAACCAGATCTCCTGATTCAAACCCAGGACAATGATGGCCAAAGAGAGAAATGACGGCTTCCAAGGCTGAGAGGGGCAGTGAGAGATAGTGACCATAGAGCCAGCCTCAAACTGGGATAAGATCTTCCAAGTAGGACAGGGCATTTAGGATTGTGACCTCCCAGACTAGCAGGTGGGTGTGGTCACCACACCTTAAGATGACAAAGAAGAGGGGGACCCAGCCCTTTGTGATCCTGGGAATTCCACTTGCTCAGTGTGACCCCGAGCAGATCACATCACCTCTCTGAACCTCTGTTGTACTATATGTTCAAAAAGAAGCCATAAGTCAGGCCTGGCCTACCGCACAACATAGTCACTGTGGGGGTTGAGGTGATAGCTTTAATCTATGTCTCAAAACTCCAGAGCAAGAAGAACTCCTAGCATTTGACCAGAAACAGCAGTTTTATCTCAACTTTCAGTTGACCGGTAGTGATTCTCTGGAATAATGTATCAGGTGGGGGAATGGTGCCAGCATCGACTAGTGATGTCTGCCACGAATGCAGTCTAGGAAAGTTGGGGTATGAATGCCATTTGTCAGCCTGATCTAGTCCAACTGCCTCACTTGACAGAGGTAGACACTAGAGCCCAGAGAGGGGAAGTGACTTATCCAAAGTCACCCAGCATTCAGGGGGCAGAGCCAGGATCAAACCCAACTCTTCTGATCCCCAGTCAATGCTGTCTCCTTTAGGAGACTTGTTAAAAGCATCTAATCCAACACCAGCCTTATAACTGAAAAGTAGTAAGGGCCAGGCCCCCAGAATACGTTGGCCCAGCTTGGATCCTCATCCCATAGAACTGGGTGAATTTGGTTAGTTTACTGAAACCCTCTAAGCCTTGGGCTCCGTATCCGTAGGAGGGTGATAATAGTACCTTCCTCACTGGGAAGATCAAATGAGTTGTTTTATGTGGCTCTGCCTGGCATAGTCAACATCCCTCTCGAATGATATTACTGTAGGGACTCTGTGCTCAAGAGCAGGCTCCTTGGGGGTCCTAAGTTTCCATGCATAACGCTTCCACCACCCTTGGTCTCCTGTGCCCGCTCAGATACCTGCTCCTCAGAGACCAGCTCGTCCACCACGTTGCTCCCAAACTTGTGACGAATGTTGTCAGGAATGATGCTGCTCCTCTGGCCCTGGGCTCCTGTGTTGGGGCCTTCCTTCAGCCCCTGGTTCAGCTGAGCCCCCTCTCGGAAAGAAGCCCTGCTCTCCCTCGAGGAGGGTCTATAGCCTCCCTTCCTCGGGGACCCACACTGGGGGTCCATCCCTGGGGACAGACGGTCACTGCTGATGATCGATGGGGGTGGAGTCCTGACCTCCTCCAGGTGGACCTGCCTTAGGGGGCTGCCTCCCCGGTACAGGGTCGGCTGTGGGGAGACTGGGGCCTGGTACTTGAACTTGGAGGTGTCCAAAGGGCTGGGGGCAGTTCTCCAGGGGTTCGTGTCCTGCTGGTCTTCCTTGCTGTTCAGATGGGCCCTGGGCAAAGTGGTTGTACCTGAGCAGGGAGAGAGAGGGAGAGAGGCAGGGAGGGAGGGAAGGAGGGAGGGAAATAGATGAGTGCAGACTGGGGAGTGGGAAGGGAGACAGCGATGGGAGTGGGGAGCGGGGAAAGAGAAAGACACAGAGCCCCAGAGCCTCGGAGCAGCAAAAGAAGGTAAGGGAAACTGAAGGGACTCCACGAGACACTGCTTTCTCTGCTCCTTTTGCTGCCTCTTCTTGCTGGGACCTGCACCCCTGCCTCACACACGCCTACAGAACAGACAGTCCTCACAAAGGTCAAGGATTTAATGATTTTTTTGGAGTCTTCCAGCACAATAGATAGTACCTAAGGAGTGACATGAACATTTTCCAAGACCACCGACTTACCAAGACCCCTGGCTCCCGGGTGTAAGTGACTTATGGGGACACCTAAACATGCATCTTTGTTCCTGGATGGCTGAGAAGACAGGGCACTGGACCACCGTCCTCAGTACAAACCCCAGGCCCCGTGCAAAGACGAGACTCACTGTCCTTTCCCTTCTGAGGCTCCCAGACACTCGGTATCTGCACTCTCTCTCTCTGTCTTCAGTAAACTGCTCTCACTTCCTCTCGGCACGCATTTGATTTCTATCCTGTGTGAAACCAGAGACCATCTTGGCTGGTGCTGCGGGACCCCTCTCTGGGTCCTTGGACCCAGCCAGCCTGCATCAAAGGGATGGGGACAGACAGAAGTCACAGGAGCCAGAAGCACAGGGGAGAAATCAGGAGAGACAGAGGAAGCAGGTAGTTCAGTCTGCCAAGCCTCCCACCAGACGGGATCACCCCCCACATTGTTTTTGACAAAAGGAGTGGCAGCCCCAGACTCTCCAGTCTTGAGGTCTAGCTGTGGGACCTTGATGTCTCTGTGCTTTAGTGAACCTAGCTCCATTTGATTAGTTCCCTTCCCCTCTTTGAACCCCCCAGCGAACCAGTGAAGAAAACCAGCAGCATCGTTGGCTTGGCCAAGTCACAGAGCTGGATGGCCAGGTCTTTGCTCCCCATTCAGAGCTGCTGCCCAATCCCCACTTCCCTCTGCTATTGTCACTATTCAGGTGGTGTCACCCCAGCCACTTCCCTGCTCTCATACCCCCACAGGTCCCTTCCGCTTCTGGCCCTGACTCCCAGTCCCAGGGGGTCCCTGCTCCCAGCCTGCAAGCCTCCTCCCTCTCTTCACCCAAGGCTCCCACCAAACCGGCTACTCCTTCTCCCCCAGCCAATGCCCTGTGCCATCCCACCTCCCAGGGTCTGCCCAGGCTGGTTCTGCTACCTGAGGGCCTGCCCCTCCTTCTCCCTGAGACAGAATCCTACCGCCAGCTCCTTCAAATGTATTCTTACCAGGAAGTCCTCCCTGACGCCCACCCCACGCTGGCCTGGCCCCAGGCTCCACACCCCTTTCACGAGTTTTCCCTTTCTCCATCACTATGGCTACAAACCTTCCCATTTTCCCACCAAGATGGGAGGTGGTGGTCTCACTGAGGCGGGTCCATGGGTGAGTTGACCCTGGACCTCCCTCAGCCCCCACCAGACAAGCCCGGTGCATCGGAGCTGTGGGTGGAGGCCGTCAGCCAGCCCGGGGAGTAGGGGCGGCGGGGCCGGCAGACCCAGAGGAACCCTGTGCCTCATCAATGTAACACATCATTTCTTTTCATGGTCCTACCGCTGACATCAGGATGCATCTGGCAGTTGGTGACCCTTAGTCTAACCAGCAGGGTTTTCTCTTTAAGTGGCGGGTAAGTCACATAAATAACAGCGTATCTGACAACTAACCTGATGGTGACCTAACACAATTTATATAACATGTTACACATGATAATACCCACGTGGTGTATAAATTCTTCCTTATCTTATTCTTTCTTGTATTTTCTGTGCAAAATACGGAAGAGGAGCCGTTTGCCCACCCCCATCCCCTCCTACCACACACACACACACACACACACACACACACACACACACACACACACACACAC